ACTACAAACCACAGGGTCAGTGATTCAAACCCACTCGCTGCTTATCAGGAACCCTAAGGTCACTAAGTGTTGGTATTCACTTGACTTGGGTCAGGGGCAGATTGATCCTCCAACTGATAGTTTTATAACTGAAAAATTTAAAGAGACACAGAGCAATGGATTTGTCCAAGGTAATACATTGTTTGGTAAACCATTTCAAGAGTTAGCATATGATTAAGAGCCAATGATACTGAAGGAAGAAGTCCAAGGTACATTGAAGGAATTGTCAAAATAGAAGGCACTGGGGACTGATGGAACACAAATAGAAATCATTCAACAAACTAATGTGGCATTAGAGGCACTCACTCATTTATGCTAAGAAATTTGGCCAATTGACTGGATGAGATCCATATTTATGTCCATTCCAAAGAGAAGTGAATCAATATAATGCAGAAATCATTGGACAGTATCATTAATATTGTGCAAAAATAAAATTTTACTAAAAATAATACAAAAACAACTACAACCATACATTGACAGAGAACATCCAGAGATTCAAGCCAGATTCAGAAGAGGATATGGAACGAAGGATATCATGGTTGATGTCAGATGGATCTTGGCTGAAAGTTGAGAAAACCAAAAAGGTGTATACCTGTGTTTTATTGACTATGACAAGCTATGGACAACATAGCAGAAACTTAGTATTCCAGAGCACTTAATTGTGCTCATCAGGAATCTGTTTGAACAGAACAAGGTGACACCAAATGGTTTAAAATTGGTAATGGTTTAAATAATTTTGAGTTTTGTTCCACATTTTTTAAAAGTACCATAAGGAGATAAAGAAGGAGCGCTGGTAGCATAGTGGTTACGAATCGTGCTGCTAATTCCATGGCCAGCAGTTTGAAGCTACCAGCTGTTCCATGGGAGAAAGATGAGGCTTTCTTCCCCCATAAAGACGTACAGCCTTGGGAACCCTGTACAGGGTCGCTATGAGTCGGAACCTACTCCACGGCACATAAAAACAGCAACAAGGAGATAAAGACAAGAGTATTATGGAAAGAATTTGTATGCAGCCATCCACTGATCATAGTAGCACGTTTATACATGTTTTTCCTGGAATAAACCAAAGTAAGAATTGGAACCTTAGTAGCAATATTTTTGACTTACCCTTGTGCGTGGTGTATGTGTGTGTGTGCTTTGATTTCTTTCACCACACTTAATGTATTCTTTCACTGTACTTAATCTGTTTGCTGGGCACATGATCCAAAAAGCTAGATTATATGAAGAAGAACATTTCATCAGGATTGTCAGAAGATTCATTAACAATTTACAATATGCAGGATGATATAACCTTGTTTGCTAAAACTGAAGAGTTTTAAAAATACTTATGGATAAAGATCAAAGACCACAGCCTTCAGTATGGGTGGCATCTCAATGTCAAGAAAACAAAAATTCTTACTACTGGACCAATAAGTTGTTGTTATTGTTAGGTGCCATTGAGTTGGTACCAACTCATAACAACCCTATGCACAACAGAATGAAACACTGCCAGGTTCTGGTCCAACCTCACAATTATTGCCATGTTTGAGAGCATTGATGCTGCCATTTTGCCTATCCATCTCGCTGGGGGTCTTTCTCTTTTTCTCTGACCTTCCACCTTACCAAACATGAGATCCTTCTCCAGCTACTGGTCCCTCCTGATACTATGTCCGAAATAGGAGAGGCGAAGGTTGGCCATCCTGGCCTCCAAGGAGCACTCTGGCTGCACTTCTTTCAACAAAAATTTGGAATTTTCAGTGTTCTTCTCCAACATAGAATATTATTAAAAGGTCCATGGAGGTGACAGTGTTTCTGTGCCACTGAGTTGAAGATGACTCATATACAGGGTTGCTATGAGTTGGAACTGACTTGATGGAACTTAACAACAACAGCAGCAAAAACAACAAGGACTGGATTGATGGTGTGCCACTGTAGAATGAGCACTGGATTTTAATCCACAAGATCAGCAGTTCAAACCCACCAACTGCTCCTCAGAAATCCTGTATAGGGTTGCTATAAGTCAGAACTGACTTGATGGCTTTAAAAATAGTAAGGATTGTCAATAAGAGTTCGCATGCTGGTTCTATTAATTGAAATTTTCTATGATCACCTGAAGACATTAAACAGCACTTTTCCAAAGTTGTATCTCAACTTTAAAAGAGATTTTAAATTTCTTACGTGGTTTAATATATATTATGCTGATGTATGTTAAACCAAGAGGGAGTTATTTGAACAGAACATGAAAACACTGAATGGTTTAACATTAAGAAAGGTGTGTGACAAGGTTGTATTCTTTCACCATACTTATTCAACCTGTATGCTGAGCAAATAATCTGAAAAACAGGGTTATATGAAGAAAAATGTGGCATCAAGCAAGATTGGAGGAAGACTCATATGCAAACTGTGATATGCAAATGATACAACCTTGCTTGCTGAAAGTGAAGAGGACTTAAAACATTTACTGATGAAGATCAAAGAGCACAGCCTTTGGTATGGATTATATGTCAATGTAAAGAAAACAAAAATCCTCACCACTGGCCCAATAGACAACATTCTTATCAACATACAAAAGATTGAAGTTGTCAAGGACTTAATTTTTCTTGGATCAACTATCAACACTCATGGAAGCAGCAGTCAAGAAATCAAAGGACGTATTGCATTAGGCAAATCTGCTACACAAGACCTTTTTAAAGTGTTGAAGAGCAAAGATGTCAGCTTGAGGACTAAGGTCACCTGACCCAAGCCATGGTATTTTCAATAACCTCATATGCATGAGAAAGCTGGACAGTGAATAAGGAAGACCGTAGAAGAATTGATGCTTTTGAGTTACGGTGTTGGAGGAGAATATTGAAAGTACCATAGGCTACCAAAAGAACCAATAGATCCGTTTTGGAAGAAGTGCAGCCAGAGTGCTCCTTGGTGGCCAAGATGGCCAAATTTCGTCTCTCATACTTCAGACATATTGTCAGGAGGGACCAGTCACTAGAGAAGAATATCTTGTTTGGTAAGGTGGAGGGGCAGAGAAAAAGAGGAAGACCCCCAATGAGATGGATTGGCCAAGTAGCTGCATCAATGGACTCAAGAGTGGCAACAGTAGTGAAGTTGGCCCAAGATCAGGCAGTATTTCATTCTGCTGTGCATAAGGTCACTCAATGGCACTTAACAACAACAACACATATATTAATCTTTTAATTGATGTATTCTATTAATATATTCTAGTAATCCTGGTGTGGTACTGTAGGATAAGTACTGGACATCTTGTCATAATGTCAACAGTTCCAGCTTACCAGTTACTCCTCTGAAACCCTATACAGGGTCTTTATGAGTTGGAACAAGCTCGATGGCACTTAACAACAACAACTTGAATAAGGAAGCATTAACAATTTTGTGTCTAATTTTATTAATCACTTCATTTATCTTATGTTGTTAAATGCCTTTGAGTCAGATCTGACCCATAGCGACCCTTGGTGGAGTTTCCGAGTCTTTTAAATCTTTGTGGATGCAGAAAGTCTCATCTTTCTCCTGTGGAGTGGCTGGCAACCTTAAACCGAGGACCTTGTGGTTTCACAGTTCACTGCTTATCTTATGGAGAAACTGAACTCGCCCTTTGTAAACTACTAAAATTCATAGAAAATATCATACCAGATTACTTGAATAGAAGAGTGCAACTATTGTTTATTTGATGCATCAGCCTAAATAACAGGTAGAATTTATTTTTTTTCTAATTAGGGAGAATAAAACATAAAGTATACTCGAACAATATTAGATGATTCATTAAGTGTATTTTTGAATTTATGAAAGCTCTTACCCACTAATTTTACATTGAAACTGTGCGTCTCTAAAAGGATGGGTGTCATTTTGCCATTAGATTACTTTTTGTTTATTAATATCTGAGATTATTATAAAGATGTGTCAAATTATATAAACGGCGCATTCAAATGAAAACACAAAGAAACTAGTGTGCTAGATTCAACAGTTTTTTAAGATTTTTAAATTACTTTAAAATGCATTTAAATATTTGAAGAGCCAGTTTAATAAATATATTATGCACACATTTCAAACAGATACTTATGTAAGGACTAGGTAGAAGCAAGGACTTAGTAGCATAAGGGGTTATTCATCGAGCTGCTATCCACTAGGTCAACAATTCCATGGGAGAAAAATTAGTCTTTCTGCCCTTGTATGCATTTATAGACTTTGAAACCCTATACAGGGTCCCTATGAGTCAAACCTGACTCAAAGACATGTCGCAGCATAAGCAATAGTTATAGGACACCAAAGGAGTAAGATTCGAAAGCAGTAGAGCAGGTAAGAAATAATGTGTTTGAATCATAGAAAATGACTTGAATGGTGTGTTCCGATGTTATTGCTGATTTGGTGTCTGCTCGTCCATTCTTGTACTTAATTCAAATCACTCCATGTCCAACTTTCTGAAGAGTCATATGAGATGCAGTTCACATCTAGGAGCTCTGGCAGCATAGTGGTTATGAATCAGTCTGCAAACCTTAAGGTCAGCAGTTCGAAACTACCAGCTGTTCCATGGGAGAAAGATGAAGCTTTCTGCTCCTGTAAAGATTTACAGCCTCAGAACCCCTGTGCAGGGTTACTATGAGTTGGGACCGACTCCACGGCACATAACAAGAACAACACAGCTATACCAAATCTTTGATTTCAACCGACAACCAATGTCAGTTTATTCTTGTGCATCACTCACAAGCAGCCTTGGTTAGATGAGGGTCAAAATTAGTCTGAACTCTTTTTTGAGTGCATAGAAAGAGCCATTAAAGCATCTGAAACTAAACGTTCTATCCTGGAGCCTAATTCAATATAGTTGATGGCAGAGAAAGGAAGAAACATATATGCTTGACAAATAAATGTGACAAATACAATTGGAATCATCTATTTTAAGAATGTCTTCTGTGTACAGATTAATCATATGTTAAATGCATCATAAACTAAATTTTGTTTTCCTGAATGCACAGGTACCTCTGTTCTACAGGTGACAGCTACCGATGCAGATGACCCTACCTACGGAAACAGTGCTCGGGTGGTTTACAGCATTCTCCAAGGACAACCCTACTTCTCTGTGGATCCTAAAACAGGTTAGAGTATGTATGTTGAATTGGCATGCAGCTACATGCTACAACACATGAAACAATGTTGTTGTTGTATTTTTTTCATTTCTGTTTATTGTTCTATATGAGACATGATTATTTTTGAAAACTTAAAAAATTCCCTCAATTGTTCTAATATAATATATATGAATCATTAAAACGGAAATAATTGCTTCTCATTATTTTAAATGATCATTTATTTCCATGCCAATAAAAAGGTACATATATTTGTGTATTTCTGCCACATTCAATTTTCTAATTTAATTAAATGAATATATTTAAAACAGATTTGATATCATTTATGAAATTAAGTTTTCAAGATGTTGTGTTTGCTCTGTTTATATTATCACATTTAAATATTTGCCAAAGAAGATAAATTATTTATATTCTTCCATACTGTATTTGAATGTATATATTGAACATTTGGACAAATATTCTTTCTTGAGTATTTTAGTTTATATTTTACCCTCTAAGAAGTAAACTCTTTATCCTTCAAAAATTGTTATGAAATATTGCATATTGTTTCAGTGCATATGTACCATAGTTTATTTATTTTCTGTTGATGGGTATTTAGATTGTTTGATTCATGTTTCTATTGCGAACAGTGCTGTAATGAACACGTTGTTGTTGTTAGGGCCACAGAGTCAGTTCCAAGTCATAGCAACCCTGAATAAGTGCATTGATTTATTCCTGTATAGCTCTTATCAAGATATATATTAAGTATAGGGCTTGCAAAGGAGCTCTGGTAGTGTAGTGGTTACGAATCAGGCTGCTAATCTCACAGTCAGCAGTTCGAAACTACCAGCTGATCTGCTGGACAAAGATGAGGCTTTCTGCTCCCGTGAAGATTTACAGCCTCAGAAACCCTGTATAGGGTTGCTATGGGTCGGAACCAACTCCACGGCATATAACAACAACAACATAGGGCTTGTTGGATCATATGATATATCTTTTTCTGGCCTCTTAGGAGTTGTCATATTGTTTTCATCAGTAGTTTTAACATTTTGCAATGCCACCAAAAGTGCATGAGGCTTCCAGTCACTTTAAACCCTACTCAGTAATTGTTGTATTCTGTCGTTTTGAATTTTGCTGATAATGGTGGGGTGAGATGATTTCCTCCCCATTCTTTTCTGACTGGCAACTCATTAATGGATAGTGATTGTAGTTCTTCATGTGTTTCTGGGCAACTTACTTGAAAGTTTTCTTTGGTAAAGTGTCTGTTCTTCTGCCCACTTTTAAATTGGAATATTTGCCTTTTGTTGCTGAAGTATTGAAGTTTACTATAAATTTTAGAAATTATTCTCTTGCCTGAACTTCCCCAGTGTGTGGGATCTCATTACTATTTTGGTGAAATCTTTTGATGTGCATAAGTGTCCACATTTTAGTAAGTCACAGTCATCTCACTTGACATCTGTTGTTTGAATGTTTTTAGTTATGTTTGATAGTGTGTTTTTGCCACGGATTAGGACCCTTAAGTGTGTCCTTAATTTTACTTTGGTGGTCTTTATAGGTTTAAGTTTTACATTTAGGTCTTTGAGTTCATTAGGTCTTTGAGTTCAAGATATGTATCTTGCTTCATTTTTCTGTAAATGGGTATCCAGTTTTGCCAACACCATTTGTGAAAGAGATCATCTCTTCTGAAAGAGACCATCTCTTCTGTGTTTAATGCTTTTCAGCCCTTTGTCAATGATCAGCTGTCCACACCATGAGAACAAAGCCAAAGATGCATACGCATCCAACCACCACAAATACGGATTTTTTTTTCTAGTGAAAATAATTATATCCTGTCATGTAAAGCCAAATGAAAATGAAGGATAGTCAATATAGGGTTAAGCTATAAAAACATAACTCATAAATCACAGAAAGAAATTTATGAACCTACTGCCAAACAATCTGTTATTAAATGCTTTGCTAAATAATAACCTATTTTGAATTTAATCAAGATTTTAGAAATCAGTTAAACTTTACTGTTCATTTCAGAGATATGAATAATCATAAGATAAAAGTACAGCAATGAGAAGTAATACAGCAGCTCTCCAGTTAAGTGATGTTGAGTCAGTTCTGAGGAGCAGCTGGTAAGCTTGAACCGCCGAAGTAGTATTTCAAACCAGCATTACAGTCCAGCACGTTAACCTACAGCACCACACCAGGACTCTGGGTCCTTTTTAGTCACAGTCTATGTTATCTGAAGCTGATTAATATATAAGAAAGTTCTCCAAGCAATGGGCACAGCCACATAATTTACACAAAAACATGTTATTTTAGTCATAATTATTTCTCTTTTATACTAAGATAATTACATAGTATAGGACACATTGTTATGTTCCACACTCGGTCCATGGCTTTGTTTTAACTGATGATATGGAGCTTTTCCATCATGTCTTTCCACAGATGTAGTCACTTTGATTCATGCATCCTATGTGGTGAAGTCCACGTGTATATTCTTTTCATAAACCATATGTAATTAATAATAATAATAATAAAAGCAGCAGTCATAATTGCTTGTGTAACTAATTATAGCTACATTTAAAAATAATTTTGCTGGTATTGCCTGTATAATAGATAAAAGTGTTTAATTAGTAATCTCCAATGCTATAGAATTTGCTTTTGGGGGAGGATAGAATGTGTCATTTTAAATTGTGCCTTTATCATTTTACTGAAATATTACCCACTTTGTTCTCTTTAGAAAATAATTCTAAGTGCTGCTTGAACTGAAGCCGTCTGTATGGGGATTAAGGCATAAAAAGAAGCAATTGTTTGTATATAGCCTTAAAGAAATACACAGTTAATGAACTGCAGTAGATACTGTTGCTGCTTTTGTTATAAGGTATTCAAGGCTGTAAATCATTCCAGGAGCAGGAAGCTTAATTTTTCTTTCATGGAGTGACTGACTTGAACCACTGTCCTTGTAATTAGCAGTCTAGTGCTTATCCTATAAAGTCACCATAGTTCTGAGTTGTAGATACTGTTTGGTGTATACTCAGAGTTGGTGTGTCTCATTTCTCTGATTCTGGCAGAACGTTAATTGTTGCTCCAAGTGGCAAAAGTTGGGTTTCTGATTCTGACAATAAATGTAAAGAAAAGACTACCAGAGTTCTCTAGAAAAGTTTTGATGTTTCTATATAGGCGCCAATGGTTTCTCTCTGGGTCTGCCCATCTTCGGGATTGAAATGGCTATGTAATCAGTGGGAAGACAGCAGCTATTTTATAATCATGTGACGGAAGATGCTAGGGAAGTCATTCTGGTTACTTTTTATGTACAGGCAAATACAATGCTAACTGAAACTTGTAATCTTTGTGATATTGTTTTGTGGGCAAATAAATCACTTTCAAAGTGCATTGTAATTCCCAAGGGGGTGTATAGCGCACTTCTGGGGACTACCTACACTCCTATAATCCCCAAATCTGAGATCTGACCCAGAGAGAACGTCCTGTCTCTACATGCTGGCAAGGAAGAAAGTCACCATTGTTGTTAAGTGCCGTGGAGT